AAAAGCCGGTACATGATCAACATTAACATACATCATGGTGAACACAGTTTCACGTGTGGGCAAATAGCAATTGCACGATGGCGCCGGTGAATCAATCAAATAAGCGCATCGAACAAATAAAAGAGGATGAGTAGCTGAATAGTCCCGGTAATGGTTTCTTGCGTTGTCACAGTAACAGTTAAATGCCAAAAATAAAAGTTTGGCGAGCACTGTTCGAAAAGATGGTCATGTGCCCACTCACTACATATTGCATTACAATAAAACGATTCAGCGTATGTGAGCTGGCTTTCGTCTGTTCTCTGAGCTGAGCAATTGTACAGCAGACGTTTCTTCACCAGACATGGTGACATCCTAAGTGCTTTACTGTTTAGAGTACAAGCTCGTTGAGTGCGTCGACGGCTCTTGATCGATGGGCAAGTAACGTTTGAAATTGGTCTCTTTGCTTCATATCATATAACTTTCGGTAGTTCTTTGTTCGGCTTTCTCTTATTCTTGCCTTAGGTTGTAATTTCTGACCCCTCCAATTTATTTATTTCTCAATGATTGGTACACCGGATCTAGGTTAATACACAGATTTATGGAATGCTCTGTGGTAATCAACACTTCAAGGAATTTCCGGCTTTTTCTCGTTTTTCATCGCGTGAGAATTTCGGTTATGTCCCAACCAAACCTCTGCCCCTCCTCATCAACATGAGCCTAGACTAGAGCTGATGCATGGTGGTTACGACAAGCTCGCTTTAGTGATCCTGCTTTTAAAGCGCTACAGGCTTGGCACGCATCTTAGTGGTTCACTCTATGTCATTGATATGTATGATTAATGTAACCATTTTACTTTGTTGATATATGTAAAGGCTATCCACGGAAGCATACAAATTAATCTTCTTGGTGATTTTTGTCGTATTTATATTGATAGCAATTCTTTGTCTTAATGGATTGTACCCCAAATATTGAGAATAACCTCTCACATTTCAAAGGAAGGAATATTTCTTTACATTTTAAACAGCAATTGAGTAGCACACAGTGTTGCGGATTAGGTCATTCGCTCCCTATCAAAATCATCCAATAAATCTTCCGACCACCCGGCAATACGGATGCCAAGTCGGGACACTCGTGAACATTCAGATATATATGCCTACGGTGGTAAAGTATCAATGAGTATTCAGGCCATACCACTTCCATAGAGAAACTGATATTGTGCGGAGGTCCTGTGCTTCCTTATTTGTCTAGCAACAAATGGCCTGAATTGTGTGAAACTACAACGAAATTGCGTAAGATGGTGTCGTTTTCACTATCATTGCCCGTAAATGTATCGCGGTAGGGCAGAATTGTACCCTAAGTCTGTCTTCTTTTCATGGTTAGTTCGACATTACGGGTTAGAATAATTTAACTAATTGTGCTACGCTGTTTTTGGAGATAAAGTTCCGGGTATAGGAACGGGTGCATTGTTTTGTCTCAGTTTATAATCTACTGTTATTACCTAAATGCAGCATAAAAACTAATGGTCTAAATGAAAAATATCCAAACATTTAGCTCTTCATATTATACAATTAACCTTCCGAAACCATTCTAATAGTTATGTCATGCCGCAGCCGACTAAGGTACCCCGCTCGACTTTAAAATCTGTACGAGCAGGGGTGAATTCAACGTGTTCTGCCAAACCGTGACCTGTCAGATTTTATGGTTGCGTCTGCCCTAAGATGCATTGTTTCCTGGAACGGAAAAAATATGGTCGGACTCCTTCTGAGCCAGTTGTTTGCAAATGTATGTGATTACAACACATTTGAATCCTTCTGTTAAATTTTCCACCGGATTGCACCAGTATTTTGTGCGAAGTTGATGATTGGAAACTAATTTAATGGTCCGAGGTATGGCCTCGGACTATACCATTATCCGAAGTGTAGAATTGAAGTCAAACTATTCAATCACGCGTTAAGTAGAGTTTAACTAGAACACTAAGGAGACGTTTGTTGCAAGATGTTACCATTTCGTGTCCTCTATTCACTTGTCAGTGAAAAACTTACCTAGGGGTAAGGTGACAAAATACTCAATAATTTGAAATCGGAAGGTCACCTGTAAGGAATCGTGAAGGTTAGCTGCGCGTTGAGTAAATATCACGAACTCTGCTCATACGTTAAATTATTTTCTTCCGAAAGCAAATTTTTGGGACAATGCAGGTTTATAGCCACTGATTCGAAAACTTGTTTTTGCGTTATTACAGTTGAAGTTACACGCCGATTTGGGGTCGACTGGATGACCCGTTTCATTCTTGTGCATCCCCAATGTCGGTCAATGAACGGAGGTGCTACTGACATATTGTGTTAGATGACGTGAAAACAGGTTCAATTGTGGAATTAAGCGTAGTAAATGGGGCACAGAAACTGCCTCATCGCAAGGAATATATACACTACACTAGAGGCATTTTTGTTAGCGGTAAGGTACTCAGTTGAATCCCCTAAATATCGGGTCTGGATCCGATCCTGAAATCATCCTAATGGTAACCAAACGGTGAGCAGGCTGAGCACTTAGCGGAATATCTCGGACGGAGTCACTAAAAAGTTGCATACTAGGGGTAAACTACGACAATTTTATTTACCTACAAGTCTGCTATGCACGTCGACACTAACGCGCCTTTAACAAATTTGCCCTTCACCAGCAGTTCTGCTACCATTAGTTTCCCGATTTGTTAAGGATATTTTAATGATGATAAGGAAGCTGTAATTGGGTACCGGTTTATATTCCTTATTGAGGATTCAACCATAATTACGTGAATTTTTTGAAACGCTAGAAGCAGACCAGTGGAAATAATTAGGATGGAACCAAAGGCTACCAAACTTAACTTTTCCGTCAATGTCATTTTGATTTCGAGATATTATACGTAAATTCACTTTAAAGTGTCAACACAAGAATGGCAACAACGGTAGACCAGTAGGTATGAGGAAGCTTTTGCAAATGCCTTAACAGATAAGCCGCAACAAGTAAGCCAAAACCTTAGTACCATCGGTGAATGGTTTGTTAAGGATCTGGATTTTATGAAAAGGTTATAAACACCATGTACATTTACATTAACCAAACATAAGCTATGCGGCCACTATGAATTTAGGGACCATAATAGTGCGTTAGCTGTTCTAGATTTACTCATCTGGTGCAATAACCAAATAGATTTTCTCTAATATTCTCTGGGAATCATTTTCACTGCTCTTGTACGCAAATTGATGCGCTGGTATTAAAGTACATGTTACTAGCACTCAAGCAGAGCTGACACCGAACTCAAGTCAAACACTGCGTGCACTTAACATACCTAACATATCGGCAACTACGCAACGCGCTCATTGCGTGTAAAAAATTCAATTTGAATTTCACGGTTTTTGCTTAAATCATTAACCCGTTAAGGCTTGATGCGGATTGCATGAACGCTAAGCGTTATTACAGAGCGAATATCAATGTCACCATTAGTTAGGTATAAGCATTATCAACCAAAAGCAATTGCCTTTCGTAGTCCGTCAGGATGCTTAAAAGTTTCAGGAGAAAACACCTTGGGTTTACATTTTGTTATCCCACAAGAATTTCTGTTATTAACTCATGAACTTCAAGCCGAAAACACGTATTCACACTTTCTCACAAAATACACTAGCTTCTAAAATAGGTTAAAGGGCGAAACGAAATTGATAAACACTGCCTTTTTTCTGCAAACACCTCTGCATTCTACGAACAGTTTCATGGGGATCTTACATGACCCATAAATACTATAGACTGGAGCCATAACTTCGATTTAACTGATGCGCACAGTCCACTGTCCTGAGTTCGAGTCCTTGTTCGGCCATACATAACTGATTGTGGGAAGTGAGCATGGAACTTGTTTTTTAGTACGGGTTGTCGATCAAACAAAATCTACAATGTATTTTTTTCGGACAGTGGCTAACTGATCGAACTAATTGTAATCTATTTTTGCATTAGTCGTGGTGAAGTCCGTTTGCGTGGTGCATGCGATTCAAGCGCCGCGTGGTACAAACGATCCCACAACACGAAATCCTCTTTCCTGTGAGAACACTACAACTTTCACCCTCCGTACAACATGTAATCTGTTGTTATACACTATCAATAAACTTGTATTTGGCGCTAAGAAAATATTCCAAACTAGCTTCTCGTGACAGCTACCGGAATTTCCATAATCAAAAGCATACAAATACGATTTTGCAACATTACCTTTATAATATTATATATGTAATAAACAAAACAAAACGTATGACATTTCATGCGCCATCCAATAAATTTCCTGGCACGACGCTTGTTGTTGAATTCGATTAACCATTATGAAACTGGTAAGTAACCATTCTTGAAAAGATTTCCAGGCAAATACTCAAGATTTCACGCATATTTCCATTCTAAGGAGTATAATCGTAGGCTATGAAAAACTAAACGGGTGTGTTCCGTCAACAAGTCATTATCTGAGCTAAGGTAGAAGTAAGTGGTTCATTTAGGGAAAAAGAAGTAAGCGATGGAAACGCCGCGCTGCGGGGCTGGTTACGTGACCAAAAGCAACGGAAAGCGAAAATATGCGAAGCTAGTTCAACGCAGTAACTTATATCGTCCTTGATGGCCTCAGGTTCCTTGTTCGTGAAAGTCGTAACCCACCTGCTCAGTCCCGCAAAATGGATTCAGCCACAGAATTACGCCGCGGATGACCTACGTGATCTGGTAATTTTACCAACAGGATCACCGTAAAACGAGATACTCTTGAGCAACATGTTCTATTTTCAGTTTTGGTTATTTATTTTTAACTCTACCAGTAGCCAGTGCGATTTATTCATCTAACACACCTGGTCTAATTGTCCGTCGTCGCAAAGGACCCGAAAATCGTGACCTGTCCCGGTAGAAACAGTGTGGTGGTGTGTTCACCCACATGTGTGTGTGTGTGCTTGGTGCGTGCGGTCGTGCGGTCGTTCGGCAACCAATCTTTTCAGACCGAAACTTAAGCACAAGCGTTTAAACGCCAGGCACACGTTTTGGAATAGCACTAAAATGTTTTTACTAAGGACGCTTAGGAAACAAATCATTTGTGTCACGTACATGGATGCTATTACTTCGAGGCGTACAGTCTGGCTGACAGCATGAAATTCCCTTACCCATCTTAACTAAGAAATTTTCGATCAAGCTGACGTGCTGGGGAACTTCGGCAGCGTCGAGATCCGAATGTGAGATTCGAAGTATTTCCATGAGCGTCGTCACCTTTTACTGATACCCACTTGGTCGTACTGCTCCGAATATCGTTCGATTACATTGGATGGCTGAAACTGTGAGCATAAGTTGCTTTCGATTCTAGCGATTGACAGTCGCGTAAATTAAGACAACGGCCATTCATCAGCTACACACACGATATATCAAGCATATACTGTGCTTTTCAGCTCAAAACTCGAAGGTCGGCTATCAAAAATGGATTAACCAGTTGCCATGAGAAGCAACAGCCAATTTAATGTGCCTCTCAAGTATGACGAAGCTACAGCTGAAGCTAAATCAAGGTTGCTCGCAAGGCGGAAAAAATATTCGCAAACCAAAGTTCCAACAGTGCAATTGGACGATTCAACCAAATCGAGGACCTCGACGAATGTGTACCGGAAGGAAAGTACTCGATTGAACCGCAACCTCTCAAACACCAGCAGTTCACTTTCTCCAACTCAATTTACTGGCTCAGCTGGTTCCAGCAGCTTATCCATCGACCCTTCAGATAGGCTTCATTCAGGAATTATACAGAGAGCCTTCTCTGCCTCACCGTCGAAAAATTCCCCTAGTAATTCTTGTGAGAATACCGCCCAGCCTTTGGTCTCGGCCTCCTCACTAGATGGGGTCAGTATGAGAAATTCGACTCATTCCACCAGCGCTCTTAGGGTACCCATGTTGTATCAGCGTCACTCATTTAAATCTCCACCTCAGAGTCCACCTTTGCGTAACGCCATGACATCAGCTCCGCTGACCGGGCGCTGGTTAAAGACAGCTACTTCCGAGGATCCAACACGCTCCGCTACCAGTTTGATGCAGCAGCGTTCCGTCGAATCCCACGAATCCTCCGTCAGTATGCCAAGTGCATGTAGCTCTGGAAGCGGAAGTGTTTTTTGGTGCAGGAAAGGAATTGCTAGGTTATCATTTAAGAAGCACCAACCGTCAACTTTCGAAGATGAGCCTGCAAACAAGAATATGGTACCTGTCAGTCCTGCTGGTGTGTACACCACACACCGAAGATCAAGTTATGAGGTAACCTATTTAGAATTAATGTACGTTGCTAAAATAAAACTCATCGTCCTACACCCAACAAAAATATCATTATATTTTTTACTTGAACATCTCTTAAGTGGCAATTTCCAAAAGGTTGCTTTCGTCGAATTCAGGTCATTGTCGTAGTTCGTTTACATCGAGCAATTTGTTTCAACTGGTCGTCATGGGATAAATATAACTTGCACGGCTATGACGGTAGAAAAAACGCTTTTCTTTCGTATGCACATGGTGCTAGCTTATAGAACAGTCGAAATAAAGCGCTCGTCATTAATCGAAATTACCTCTACTGCTTCAGAGCTATTAATCACTGAACCAATTCGCTAGTCCTCTAGTTTAATGGATATGTTAAGCACACAGGAACCTAAAGTACATTTCATTGTGTTAATCGTCACCAGAATTTATAAAAACGGTTACATTTGCTGAGCCTTGCTTGGTAAACAATTACATCATCGCAAGCGCTCTTTGCTCTTGCGAAGTTACAAGCGTGAGAAATAGATATTCTACGTATTTGACCAGCATACCTTGTACCTGTGGTAAATTAAGCGTTTCGTGTGTCAATGGTACCTGCTGTAATTCCAGTAGAATTTAAAATACAATTTATTATAGGGTTTTACAAGGACAATACATGTTACGCACGGGGAATTAGGTTATTTCATTCGCAACACACTCGGTTGGTCTATGGAAAAAGGCGTTAATATTCCCCTGCTGACATATCTCCATATTTTGACAAACTAAGTCTCTGTTCAAATGCAACCGTTACTAGAGTGTGCTAAATTTAGATTTGTGATTTGTGATTTTGAAATGCAGGTAGATCGATCGGTAATCGCGACTTCCACCCTTTATTTCTTAACGCAATAAACAATTCAACAGAGTCGGTCAATTAAACTTAGTGATGAAACGCTGGTCAATTCGAACTTCCGACAATTCATGAAACGGCATTTTGACAGACAAATGCTTCCAGGATGCCTTAATGAGGCGTCTTGACAAATTCTCCGCGCCAGCGGACGTTAAAACAAGTGCTTAGTTTTATTGAGCAAGTACACCTTTGGACTTCAAGAAATCGCCGTGAAATTTACTTCCCTACTGAGGAAACTGCATAATTTTCATTTATTTAGCTACTGACGTACACTTCAACCCAATTAAATGTAGTTTGCCGTAATAGTTATCCAAAATAATCTACCTTATCCACGTGAGTTAACGAATTCGTTCTAGTAGCTCCGACGTTTACGACGACAAGCGTGTGATAAGTAAATTTTCTGTGAGGATAAGATTTTATCCCGTCTGATGCAGGTTGTAAAGCCTTTTGGTATGTCCAGACGGTTCCATACAAGCTTGCTTTTAAACCATGTGGGCATTTTGAGCACTTTGGCCTTTTCCTAACTGTCAGTTGCTCTCATCCTATAAATGTCTCGGCTTAAAATTTCCATTATGTGAAGACATTGTATTATAGTTTGATGGACACTTTGTAGGTGCAAAAGAAGGTACGCAGAATAATAGTTTCCGTCACACAATTGAGTACACCTTTCACTTTCCAGGAACCGGTTCGAGTGTGCAACCTTCATTTTCGGTGCACAAGTGAAGTGATTCCGTCTTCTTTTTCCCGGTATCTATCTACTTTTGGACTCTCTCCGAACTGACATTTCGGGCATTCCGGAAATTGTTCTGCCCAAAACTTACCACGCTCTCGTCCTTTCACTGTGGGAAAGAAAATATGGTCATCTGTTCAAGATTTCCTTGACATACTGGTCTTAACATCACAGAAGAGGATGAATACTGCAAACTAAAATAGCTATTAAACATATTTTACCAGAGGTTAACGCGTACATAACACTCTTCTATTGACTGCGTCAGAAGTACTTGATTGTAGCTGGTAGCCAATTAATTATTTGAGATGTAACGTTTGACTGTTTGCTAGTGATACTTGCATATTAACTATTTTATTTTGATTCCTTATAATTCGCAACTTGTGTAATCCTGCCTTCCGCGGAACACTATGTAAACTGGTGTTAAACGTAGTTTGAGCCCATTTTACTAAACATTACCAAGATACGTTTCGAACACATTTGGTATCAGTGCATCTAAATTGTACTTAACTCGACACAGAATATACGGCCACACACTATATAAAAGGTATGGCGATTCAACTATAGTCTTAGTTCTTATAAATTCCGATTCCTTTACGAAATAAAAAAATAAATTCAGGTGTATGCATACAACCTGAATAATGCGCGTATGATTTTGCATTTTACGTTTGCTTGGACATTTCAGAATTAAAATTTCAAGACAAACTGTTTTGTTACGCACACGATACGTAAGAGATTCAGTCATAAATAAATCCACAGCAAAGATAACAGCTTTAAAGCTTGAAATATATACTTTCTCTAATGATATAGTACTCAATATTCAGATTCCGCTTAGAATTCAAACATGCTGGGCTTAAGGAAAGAGTAAGAGTTTAGTAATGTTAAATGTGGAAAATAGGTCAAACTTGCAAATGGGCTAATTGGAAAATTTGCCATTTTGCTAAACTCGGTCGTTCTCCTGCTGCGCTACCCTGTTTGGGTTAGAATTCCATTTGAATGCAAGTTGTCTCGTTCCCTACCTTCTAGTTTGAAACCTAATAATTGTTTTAGCGGTTTGCTTAGCCATACAAACAGGTGAGCAGACGCATAGCATAAGCAGCTATACCACAGAAACCTGTTTATAAAAAAGTAAACCGATCAGTAAGCATGGGAGATTCATTGGAAAAGCATGATTAATCAAGCTTTTACAACTAGGTTTAAAATTTGCGGTTTGGTCAGCCTCTCAGTTCCCAAAATGCCATGGATTTATGCTAAAAGTACGTGAAAATAATGCCCATTCGATACACAGTTATTTAGTAACAACTTGTAGCTAAAGTGTAGGATTAATTGGAGTTGGGCAACGTAGCATGCAGCGGTGTTTCTCGACGTCCCATCATAAAACATTATGTTTTGTCCTTGATTTTCCGATAGGAACCTGGTAGCTGATGGTTCTTAGAAACGTTTTAATTTTAATAACACTGGTTTCAATGTTTTGATTGAAATTTGAACATATAATTTACAAGATATCGCATTTAAGCTATTCATCCTAGTACCAAGCACACAAGCTTCTCTATTATCTGACGTTAGCTTTTTATATTCACTTAGCGCAACATCCCAACCTACATTTTATAGGAGGAACTGTGCATCAGCTACTATTTGTTGTGCAGTTTACATGGCTCAAGTAACACATAAAAACTTAAACTCAGAGAATTGGTGTGATACAATCTCTTCGAAACTGAAGAAAACTTTTGGATGTTAAGGAGACTAAGAAACCGTTGACATCCGTTCCTTGTACAGTAGATTATTCATTTGCATTGTTGAATATGGGCTGGGACCTACATTAATTCGCAAATACCTACAAACAAGAGCAATTATTTTTTTCAGTATCTGTACCACATCGCTTATAGGGGTACCGTCAGCTAAGCTCATCAGTTTTGTATTCCAAACACAATGTCTGAAACAAGACTAGTATATAGTATGTAGTATGATGTATGTATGGTAGCGTATAATGCCGATGTGTATATCTGGCAACGTTTTGCCTGAAACCTGTCAAGCCGCATGGCGGAATGTGGCTCTTGGCCACTGGGAGTTTGGATGAAAAATTAAAGGAGTATGATCTTGACAAAATAAGGCAAGGTGAACAATATATTTATAGCTAGTTGTAAGTAGTAGGGGGATTTATTGGGTTTTTGTGTAGATTCGTCTCAGTTAGATTAAGTAGAGTAAGTAGAACTTATATCTCTACAGTGGTATATAAAACTAACCAGAAACTTTATACGACTATCATCTACCAATACCCTGACGGGTTTCCACATTCACATGAGAAATTTTGAATATGTCTGGTTCTACTCTTAGATGGAAATCATAAGGGTTGAATGTCATTCACGGATAAACGTTTTGTTACTCAAATAATGGCGAAATGTGAGTATAGGAATGCGTCGAATTTCTACACATATTTCTTTTTACCTTGCGACTAGGAAAACTACCTCAAACAGTTTAAACACGACAGTCAAAGTACTCGAGTCGGTCAACCTTTAAACCGACCCCAACTACCAATTCGGAAAGACAGGTGCACATGATATTGAGCAAAGTGCTCTAGTTAGGAATAATAATAGTAATAACTAGTCAATTCGGAGCTCCATACTATAAAGTCACAACTAACTTAAACTCTAGGGAAGATCGTGTTAAACAACCTGACATTTGTGTCTATGCGGTGAGTTATTATGGTCAGCCAGCACTTGCAGTATTTGGCATTATATACACTATCACTGCGATATGCACGCAAGAAGAAGGCCCAAATATCATCGGCTTTTGGTTAAGACGAGATGCAATAGTACCGTTACCCTCTGCAATTGACCTTTGTGTGTTTGTCCAGGCTTGCCTTAACATGGCCATGACTTTTCACACAAATTAAGCAAGCTTTCTGTCTAGCATTACAACTATTAATGTGGTCTGCCAACGGTAGTTATATTCCTGGTATAAGTCTCCAGTTGACCATAAAATTAGTATAGAATGTTAGAAGTCCGCTTGTACACCATAACGTTAACACCAGGCAAGTAGACAGTCTCGTCTACTTAGTTCTTTCATGTCCAGCTGTTTATTGAACCTTGCAGTACAGTGAGGTGTATTAATGATGTAAATTGTCCAATAGACGTGTGGATGAGGCTCTTAGACACAAGTTAGGGGAACTGTGTAGCATTCTATAAAAAGCTGTCCAATAGGTCAAAGTAGAACTATTAGTAAGGTCTACTTGTACTTCATTTAAAATAATCTGGGCTCGTTTCAGGATTGGCAGGTGCCTGAACCCGCGCTCAACATTGCTTGACACGTTCTAGAGCAAGTTCCTTGCTTTACTTATATAGGGGGTTGCATCACGGCTTGTGGCGCTGTAGATGACGTCACAACACATTGCAAAGA